GAAAATTCAAATCAACCCCAACTTCCACAATGAAATGACAGTTTATAGAACCATGGGGGAATAGCACGGTAATCTGGTTATTCCATGCAGACGTGCCATAACAATGCTATCTCTGCAAAAAACTTACTACCTCAGAAACCTTAGAGTGATTCATTCACAATAATTTCCCACATCCTTTCTTTTGTTCCCACTCTAGCGACCAGTCATTGAACATAAACATGGCCCCAGCTGACCCCTAGAAAAACTGCCAACAGTCAGAGGTCTAGTATGAATCTAGTTCCAACAGGGAACATTTAATCCATCTTAAATACCTCCAGCCCCTTTACGCTAACCTGCCCTCCCCGCCCCCCAAGTCTAGGACCCAGAATATGTAAGTGATCTAAAACATAAGGTATGAGCAGAAAATATCTAATCTGTGAATGCGTACGTGAATCTTTGAGCCAGAAAATGTGGGATACACAGCATTTCAGAATTAGAGGAATTCTACTGCTGTCATCCTATATGAAGTCCAAGGCCCACCCTGACCAAAGAGGACTTCTCAACACTTCGGTTTGTTTTGCAGCTGAGTTTCATCCTTGGACCAATTAATTTTCATTTCTGGCTTTTACTCCTGGACATAAACCAGTTAGGACAGCTGCTTACTCTGAGTCAGACCCACTGAGTCCCCCTAGATCTCATTATCTCATCTCACTATTGCCTGCTCCAGACTCCCAACCCCCTTAGCCTCACCCTCTTACCACCCATTCCAGAAGTATATTTATACCCCATCGTCTAGCACTTTGCTCCTCTTAGTGCAGTTTACAGACCGGCGGCAGCAGCAGCAGCAGCTTTGGGGAGTTTGTTTAACATGTAAAATGTCCAGGTGCCCTAAATCTATGAAATAAGATCTGCATTTCAAAACAACCCCTAAATGATTCACATGTACATGAGTTTGAGAAGCACATGCTGGAAACTTGTCTGCTCAATGTTGTTTTGGTACCAGGGATTGAACTCAGGGGTACTCAACCACTGAGCCACATCTCCAGCCCTTTTTAGTATTTTATTTAGAGACGGGGTCTCACTGAGTTGCTTAGGGCCTGGCTAAGTTGCTGAGGCTGGCTTTGAGCTCATGATCCTCCTCTGCCTCAGCCTCCCCATCATTAGGGTTCTGAAGAAAGATTTTTAATAAATAGAGATGCCTAGTGCCTGGGATCCATCCTGAGAGTTTCTAACTTAATAGGTCTGGGTGTGGCCTAGATTTGTCAAGCTTTCCTGGTGATTCTAAATGCTCATTGTAACACAGAATTCTAGCTACAGAGGCAACTTAGTGTTACATAGCTCTTAAGACTAAAAATCTCTGAAGTTCAACTGGGCATGGTACATGCCTGTTGTCCAAGCTACTTGGGAGGCTGAGGCCAGAGGATCACTTGAGTCTATGAGTTCCATATCAGCCTGTTAACAGTGAGATCCTGTCTCAAAAAACAAGCACACACCCACCCCTCAAACAACAACAACAACAACAACAAAAATGATAAGCTCCAGGAGGCAGAGCTTATAATTAAATCAAGATCATGAAACACCGATTCTGTGCAAGGCTTTCTACTAGCTGCTCCAACTTGTGACAGGTGAGGGTCTTCTGGAGTGGGCAGGTGTTTATTTACCTTAATCCCTGAACTACGACACTTGCTCACAGCATGTGGAACAGCTGCCCGGGGAGGGTCGATCATGGATATGAGCCCCACAAAACACAAAGTGTCCATAGGAAAATTTATCTCATCTGTATTAAATTGGAATCCCTTGAAGAAGCTGCTAGGCAGGTTGCAGAAGCAGAACCCTGGAGAGAGACAGGAGACCAGTAGTTATCTCTCTATTTCCCTTTTCCCACACACCCCAACATCCGAGCCTGTTCACTCCACAAAAATCATCTCCCGATGCTATTCTTTCGGGGGGGGGGGTCCTCCCAGCGCCTCACCCAGCACACGTTCCCCCATGCCTCCCAGTTCTAAGTAGGCCTTTTGGAAAGCAGTCCTCATTTCATCATCTATTGGGTACTCTTGGCCATTCAGGAAGAAAGTAGAGCACAACTCCATGATCTTCTCAGGAGCACCTTTCATCATCAGTACGTGGGCCTGGGAGCTGTCCTCCCGAAGGTGGATGGACAACTAGGGAGGAGAGAGGAAGCAGAGAAGGGATAGGAGAAGAGAGCCAGGGTCAAGGGCAAAAACCAAGAGGAAGGTTTAGAAGGTTAAAAAAAATTAAAAATTAAAAAAAATATATACACACATACCTACATACATACATACACACACACACAACTGGTTTCACATGACATTTCCTTTGGCCCCCATTGCCCCCGTCAAATTGGGCTCAAAATTGAGCCCAGCAGCCCTTTCCAGGACCCCCCACACTAGTACTATTTGTACATGACTCTCCATTACAGCAAGACTCTGATGATCCCTCTCTCTCTTTTACACAGGGTCTCACTAAGTTGCCCAGGCTGGCCTTGAACTTGTGATCCTCCTGCCTCCTGAGTAGCTGAGAATAGAGGTGTGTGCCACCGTGTCCAGCTAGACTGGACCTCTCTGAAGGGCTCTTTTGCCTTCTTCCTGATTCCTTGCTGATTGGATGGCTCAAGAGCAGAAACAGCAGAGCTGTCAAAGAAACACAGCCAGGTCGGCAGAAAACTTCTAAGAGTCCAAAGACCTGTGTTCTAGGGCCAGCA